TGGAAACCCCTCCCAGAGCACCAGGCGCTGGGGATGGAGTCCAGACCGTCCAGAGACCAGCGCCGCCCGGCAGACTTCCTGCGATGGTGGGAAGGTCCTCTCTCTGTGCCGTGTAATACAGCAGCCACCAGCCACGTGTGGCCACTGAGTACTGGAAATGCAGGAGGTGCCACGGAGGGGCAGCATCTGCCATTCTGCTTACCTTTAATTGTGGCCGGCAACTGGTGTGGGGAACAGCCTGGTGGGGGCCCCCAGGCAAAGCTGACGAGATGGAGGGCACAGCCGGAGGTAGGACTAAGTAACCTCAGTGGGAAAAGGGCCCTGGGCCAAGGCCAGTGCCAGAGACACGGATGGAGCGGGGCCTTCCTTGGGGCTGAACTCCCATATCTGTGAGAACTCTTAGCCGTGCTTTGCACGAGGCTCGAGAAAGCCAGGAGAGTTTCGAACCCAACCAGGTGGGCCAGCCGCCGCTCCGGCAGGTGCGTAAGGGTCAAGGGTGAATGGCGCTGCATTTGACGTCCAGGCTACGAGCTCGTCACCCGAATGGCAAGGCCCGGGCCATGGCAGTGGATGCCCGTGTCAATTGAGCCCGGTGGTGAGGAGCCGGCTGTGCGGCCCAGGGAGGTTCCAGTCCGGAGAAGTGGGGATGAGCAGGCTTCCTGCGGCTCAGGGCAGGTGCGCCGTGTGTCCCTGGAGTGGGCCGGATGGCTCGGCACTGCTCTTCCCACAGTGGCCGCGCTGCCAAGGGTTCCAGACGTTAGGGACAGCTCAGTGTTGGAGCTGCAGAGAGAGCAGCAGCAGCGAGTGCTCCTCAGAAAAGCACAGAGCTAATGAAGTAGCCTGGTGTGTCTTACATAACACAGCCGGGAGCATTTTCTAAAAGATTCCTCACTTCCCACCCAGTCTGGGGAGAATGGCTTCTCCACACACAGGTCCAGCTTTAAGTGTTCCCGCCTGGGCTTCCCGAACCATGACAGCGACAGCAACCACATGCCACCATTATTGTCTTCAGCCGCTGCCTGGGCGTTTTCATTCCTCATCCTGAAGGAAAATGGTCAGCAACGGGGCAAACGGCCTATGAAAGTAAGTTCAGTCTTCAGGCTTCACCAGCTTGTCCTGAGTGACACTGGGGGTCCCGGGACAGCCCAGCCCACCTCGCAGGGCTGGCCACCCCTGCTGTACCCTGCCCAGTCAGGCCCCTGTCAGGAATGCCGCCCCGTTTGCCTCTCTGAGACGCCTGGCCTCCAGAGCCATGAGACAGGGCGTCTGGGGTCCGTGAAGCCCCTGGTTTTGTGGGAAGTCATTAGAGCAGCCACGGCGAACTCACAGGGATGTGGTACGTGTGCTGGCCACGCACCTGCCTTTCTGGACTTTTCCCCACCCTGTGAGATCAGCTGTCAGAGGGTGGGGGGACCCTCCCAAGAGGGGCAGTGGCCTCTTACGGTGGCACCGTCCAGGGTGGTGTGACTGAGGAGGCCGGACACTGGCTGTGGGCCACTGCCGCCCTGTGACCGCAGCCCTGGGGTGCTCACTTGCTCAGCCGCCTGTGTGTGCCTTTCCCGTGAAAATATCATTACTTCAGAAACAGTCCTTATGCTGGTCCCATTCTACAGTCAACTTTGGGACGAGTTAGTTCGATGCCCAACGAAAAGGAGGGCAGCTCCATGTGCTGTGCTGTTTATCCGTGTCCCGGGGCTGGGCCTGTCTCCTGCCCTGTGGAGGAACATCACTGCTCCCTCATCAGAGAAGCCAGAGAAGCAAGGGGCTTCTCAGCTCTGCTCCAGCGGGGCTGCTCCTGGGAGTCAGGGCCTGGGGCTGTCCCCCAACCCTGACTACATGACTGTCCTTCTCAAAACCGGGGGTCCTCCCTCCTGAGCCCCTCAGAGTAACCCCTTCTCCGAGCTGGGTGCTGACCTTACCGTTGGCCCTCACGGGGGAAGGACTCACACCTGTGTGGGGAAAGGGGCGACTGGGGGCAGAGAAGAGATTTTATCCACCTCACCCTTCTGCAAAAGAGAAAGTGAGCTAGTGTCGGCCAGAAGCAAGCTGTAAGGAGAGACAGCACGTGTGGTGGGCGGAGCAGTGCCCCACACCCCCATGTGAGTCCAGTCAGAGCCTCTGGATGTGACCTTACTGGGAATAAGGATCTTTGCACATGCCGCTGATTTAAGGCTCTCTAGATGAAATCCTCCCGGATTATCTGGGTGGGCCCTAAATCCTGTGACCAATGTCCTTACAAGAGGCAAAAGAACAGAGAGAAGGGAGAGGCCACATGAAGGTGGAGGGAGGATGGAGTGATGGGACCACGAGCCAGGAAATCCGCCCCCAGAGGCTGGAAGAGGCAGGAAGGGGGGCTCCCCTAGCACCTCCAAGCGGTTCTGCCCACACCTGGATTTGGGACCTGGGGCCTCCAGACCGTGGCAGTGCAAAGGTCTGCTGTTTGAAGCTCCCAGTCTGTGGTCCCCTGTGGTGCAGCCCCAGGACACAAACACCCTCTCCAGGGCTCTCCACTTTGCCACTGCCCCACTGCGGCACAGTGTGCAGGGGTCCCACCTGGCCTCCAGGCCCCTTCCTGCTGGATCAGGGATGGCAGGAGTGTGGAGGCTGCATGAGAGCCCCCAGGATGGGGTTTCACGGGATCTCGACAGGTTTGCGCCAGAAAACCGAAGCAGAACAAGCTGGTATGTGGGTGGGCACAGTTTTGGGCACACTCGGATCGCCGGCTGTCCAGAGGCCCCAGTGGGCAGGGTCACCCCAGCCTCACACTGCATGTCCCCAGAAAGGAGCAAAGCATGGGGAAGGGGGAGGAAAGGAGCCACGCCTGCAGAGCCCTGGGGCCCCCAGAACTGGGGACACGATGGGCCCATCCTGTTTCTGCAGCAGGTGTGGCCAGTGCACTGCCAGACCCGAGACCCAACCTGGGACACCGGTGCCGGCTCCCCAGCAGAGCCATGGCCCAGAGGAGTCCCCAGCTTCACACAGGGATACTTCTCTGGAAAACAACAAATAACGTGTGATAGTGTCTAACAGCGCCTGGGGGACACTGGGACAGAAATAGACCAGACTCCATAGCTGTTAGTGTGGTCCACATTCCTTTATGTACAAAGCAAGAAGTGATCCGAGAAAGCAGAAACCCTCTCTCTGCTCACCAGGGGCTGCTGGTGAGGGGTCCGGGGCAACACAGACTCCAGGCCGGGGCTGGGATGCCGGCGAGGGGCCTGGGCAGGGACTGTGTGGGTGCAGCGGGCAGGTCTCATCGCCCACCCCTCAATCTGCCTGTTGGAGGAAACCCTCCAGAGTAGGACGTTCTGCCAGAACTACGCCTTCTGAAAATGAAGATCCTTTCTCTGTATTTTGGAGTAAGAGGAACGTTTTAGAAACCGACAGTATCTGTCAAGGACAGCTGCACACACGTTGCCCCAGTGACTTTCATGTTGCTAAATGGGTCCTAGAAAGGGCCCTGTCCTCCAGGAGAGTTCATGGTCTTGCCTGCAAATCAGTAATTCACACGGACCAGGAACCAACCATTCTCCTTCCTCAGCTCCCCCTTGGAAGTTAATTCTGGTCGTACAAAGGATTGGGGTGAAGACTCTGGTCATTCTCTGAGAGCTTCCCTGAGCCACACAGCACATCTGCTGAGCCGGCCGACGCGGACACTGGCTCTCCAGGAAAGTCTGTCTCTTTTCCTAGTTGGCGCTTCTCAAAGGGCACTTGGGAGATACGGAACAGAGCAAGGTCCTGGAATGTGAATGCCTTTTCCACTATGGATTTGAAGTTGTGTTTGACAATGAAGTTGTGATCGCAGGGACTTGTCCGGGGAGTGGTTCTAGAAAAACAGAGGCAGGGAATCCTGGCACGGGATTCTGCCTTTCCCGAATGTTCGTGCCACCATGGCACTCGATACCACAGGCCCATGGAGGACAATCCAGGACAACAAGACCCACCTTCCGTGGACCAGTTCTAAAATGGCATTGAGGTCTGTGTGGCAAACATCCACCAGGTACGAAGGGATTGTGCGAAGCAGACAGAGTGGAGCCAAACACCTTTTCCGCACCCTAAGATCGCCCAGACCCTACTAGGGCATGCCAGACTTGCTCTCGATGGCCCCGGGCAGGCAGGCAGGCCTCTACCCTTCCAACGCCAGGACCCTTCCGGCCCCGTGCTGGAGGGCTACCCCACTAGTGTGTTCAAGAGAGAACGTGCTGGCATTGCTGGCCCCGCCGGCTTCAAGGGTCGGGAAGGCCTTGGGGGGCTCAGGACAGACCAGTGTCACCACCACCACCCCAGCCAGGGACTGGTCTGACCCGACGGCTTTCCCAGCGAAGCTGCTTGCGAACAATGCCAGGCTTCCGCCGCAGTGACGTCACCCGAGCCCAAAGCAAGCGCTCCTTGTCCAGGGCACCAAGCCTTACCGCAGAAGACACAACACACGTGGAAATCACCCTGCGTCGGGAGGGGACGTTCACTCACTTCACACCCTCAGCAGTCCCATGGGGTGGGCGTGAGGAGCTGGCCCTCTCTCCCGGAAGGCTGCCAAGTCTCCGGGACAGGGGGAGTCCCAAACCCCAGGGCTGCCTGGCTGCTGGCCCGTGGGCTTCTCTGCTCGGATCCCACCGATGCTTATATCATGGCTTCTCTGTTCCTCCCCCAGAGGAAACGTGGAAGGTCTGGGGCACCGGTCACCGGAGCCATGCTCGTAAGCTCTTTAGAGGGCTCCGTTCGTGGAGCATTTTAAGAGGGTCTGGTGGCGTTCCCCAGCAGCATAAAGGCCCCAGACACATCTGAACTGTGCGTGTTACAAGTCTGAAAAACCCAGCCCACCAATCCTAGCCTCACGGAGGCGTCAACAAGGACAAAGCGCTAGGCCGGCTTCCCGGTCCTCTGGGGAGATGGGCAGACACGGGCTGCGGGCGCGCAGGGCGCGGACCACCAGCAAGCTGCCCGAGGGAGCCGGAGCACCAACGACCACCCGGCTTCTCTCTGTCCGCAGAGCCCGTTACCTTTTCTGATCTTGTCGTGAAAGTTGATGGCGTCCACGGAGGCAGTGACTATGTTGGTCTTGCAATGACGCGCAGCCACGATTCCTGCCACCTCGTCCATGAGCTTCATGGTGACGCCTGCACGGAGAAGGGGCACACGGCAGGTCAGACACGGGGAGGCCACCTCCCACCCTGGAGCCCAGTCGTAAAAGACAAAGCCCTCCCAGTCCCCAGCAGCCGGGGGCGTTGGGGGGTGACCGGACATGGCTGACGCTCCTGCGGGAACCTGTGCGGGAACCTGGCTTCCTTAGCAGAGTCTGCGGACAACGGACCGCAGCTGACGGACTAGGCCACTCACGAAACGATGGTCCTTTTCCTACCCCCTCCAGGTACCTACTCCCTCAGGAAGTGAGCTACAAACCCTGCCGCATGGCCGCATCCGAAGTCAGGTCGCAAGCGTCAGCGAGAGCGCGGAGATCAGAGCCCGCACACACGGCCGGAGGGGATGGAAACGGTGCGGCCGCTTTGGAAAGAGGCGGGAGTTTTTCAAAAGCCTGAACAGAGAGTTACCTACGCCCCGGCGGTTCCTCTCCTACATGTGCACCCACGACAACTAAAAACTCATGGTCACACAAAAACTTGTACACGGATTTCATGACCGCATCACTCACGATGGCCAAACAGGGGACATGAGCCACACGCGCGTCAACTGATGAGCAGACGGGGAAGTGCGGCCCCTCCGTACAGTGGGATATGATCCAGCAACGAAAATGAGCAAAGCCCTGACCCACGCTGCAACACAGAACAGCCCCGAAAACACGCTGCTCAGGAAAGAAGCCAGGTCCTAAAGACCAGACGTTGTAGGATTCCCTTTATAAGAAAGGTCTAGAACAGGCAGAACCGTAGAAAACAGATTAACGGTTGCCAGGGCTGGGGGATCGGGGGGAGATGGGGAGTGAGAACTGGTGGGTGTGGAGCTTCTCTTTGGGGGGACGAAACTGTTCTAACATTGACTGTGGTGATGGCCGTGAACCGGAATACACCGGAAATCAAGCACTTGTGACAGCGCGCGAATCGTCTTGGTAAAGCCGTTACATAAAACAAACACACCAGAAAAGCCGGCTCACGGCAGGCCAAGGTGATCTTAAAACATCAGGCTGCAGGCGTTGGCTTTTGCTCAACTGTCCCCCTATTTTGACGGGCTCACAACTGCACACCTGCTGGTCCCCCCCCAAAACACTGCCGCCCCAGGAAAACACTTGCTACTTACTTCGTATTCAAACATTAAACCATGTTTCTTATTAGGCTGAACTACACGAAATTGCCAATATTCAACCATGTTTGACCTATAAAAGGAGCAGAGTGAGATGAACCAACCTAATGGCTATCAAAAGTCTTAGAGGGCACATGGGCGCTCAGTAACTTAAGCGTCTGACTCTTGATTTCTGCTCGGGTCATGATCTCAGGGCCGAGACTGGCATCTGCCTCTGAGCTCCGCCGGGGGGTCTGCTAGAGATTCTCACCCTCCTTCTCACTCTGCCCACCCAATGCTTTTCTTGTGTTCAATCAATCAGTCAGTCAATCATCTCAGAAACTAACGTTCATTCACCCCAGGATCCAGAATGCTGTCTAAACATCCAGAACAAGGCGGGAAAACAGACGTCATCCCACTCGTGAGAGCCCACGAGGAAGCATGTTTAGATGAGGCTTGCAGAGCCAAATGTCTGCAGGGCCAGGGGGGCGATTGGGGGCGGTAAGCAGGGCTGCTGCCTGGCCCTGCCCGTGGCCTCCCACCCGAGGAACACCGACCTCCTGCTACCAGCCTTGCGATGATTCCAGACAAGACTGGAACCTACACGTTTATAAGGCATCTACCAATGTTTAAACATTGGTGACTAATTAAAACCCTCTTACTGTGTGGGAAAAACAAAATCCAATAAACCGAGAACAGCAGAGCTCCCCTCCGGCTGGACTGGGGGAGCAGAGATGCCGCTTACAAGACACCTGGGACACAGAGGGACACCTGGGGTCCAGTACACTCTTCCCTCCATTCTGTGCATATCTGAGCATTCCAGAACAGAAGGTTTTAAAAAACACATTCCTGTTCTTGATTTTAAAATGATGCTTTTATTACCGTGACTTTTTTCACGGAAGATGCTGCTGTGTGGTGGAAATGGCAGATGACCGGACGGGGACGGAGACGCAGCTGCTGCCGCCGTCTTAGGAGAGACTGGCACAGGGATTCGCTTCAGCCAAGACGGAAGGGATCGGTATCCCCGGTTTTCAAACTATCGCAGGCTCTGACCCATACGGGTCTGAGTCTAAAGACTGTGCCGACGGCATGCTGGGGAAACAGCGCTTTTGAGAGGAAAGAATCGCAGGTGCCAGGTTTCATCTTCAGGTGACTGAGGCCAGGGCGGGGGGAGGCCTCTGGCCTCAAGCAGCTTGGCTCAGAGCTGACACAAGGGGTCACACTGCGCTCCATTAGGAGACTATGCGGGGTGACGCTGTTACTGGAAACGGACACAGGCAGCCTAGCCTCCCTGAGCCTACCACGAGGCCCTCTGGGTCTTTACCAGCAGCAGAGAGTCTCGGCCAAGGCAGGGCAAAGTGCAGGCCTGGTGGGCCACATCCCCAGCCCTGCACTCCAAGGAGGGAAAAACACCAAACAGCGCCGGGGTTGCTCACTGAGCCTGTCAGTGTGGACTGCCTTGCTGGAGGGACCCCAAGGCTCTGGACAGGGCGCACTGCAGTGTGAATGTGGCGCCGCCCTCATGGCGGTGCAGACTTGGAGTCCAAGGTCACTGCCTGGCTGGGGACCCTGGGCAGGCAGAGACGGCCCTTGGGGATGGGCAAGCCCCATGCCGCCCCATAGCGGCACCTCCCACAGACCACCTCCTGACACCGTGTGGGTTCACGTGTGCGTGAGTGTGCGGACGGTGAGGGGCGTGCGTGCGTGCGTGTGCATGTGTGGGTGTGTGTACGTGTGTGGGGTGTGTGCACACGCATGTGCGCACGTGTGGGGTGTATGTGCACACACGTGGGCACGTGTGTGCATGCCCGTTCAGTTTTGCAAAGGGAGCGAGAGCCCACAGATTGAGTTCTCCTGGGTCGGTCTGCCTCACAGAGAACTGAGCTGCTCCAGCAGCTGGCCAGGCGGGCCCTGCTCGCTTGACCTGAATTCAGAAGGCCTTTTCCCAGACTTACTCTGAGTACGATAAGCAAACCTCCTCGGGCAGCCAACAAAAGCTCGTTCAGTCCCAGGAGGGTCAGAAGAGGCTGCGTTTGCCATGAGACACCCCCACGCCAGCAATAACGTACGTTAAGGAAACGCTGGTCCAGAATCTAGGAACGGTTGAAACCAAGAATGGCGAAGAGACAGGATTCCGGGAGTAATTATAGAGGGTGTCCACCTGCAAGACTCGGTGAAAATCCTTCCTCTTCCAACGTTCAGGGGAGTGTTCAGGGCATTTTAACTGGAAAATTTTAGACGTTTGTAACAGTATTAGGTGTAGCTGTCCTTTTCTTAGATGGAGCTACCATCAGGGTCCTTCTGATGAGACAGAGACGAGGAGGGTTTTTTGAGAGAAAATGGAGGAGACCGAGAAGTCCGGCCCAGGATATGGGAACCAAGTGGACGCGTGGTAGAGAAGCAGCAGTGTCACGGGGAGTGGGGAGCTGGTTGGGAACGAGAGTTTGGTTTCCAGCAGGGCCAGTGGCCGCCGCGGCTGCAGCACATGGGACTAGCATTGTGCCAGGTCTGCCCTGGAGAGCAAGGACCATTTTTTTTTTTTTTAAAGATTTTATTTATTTATTTGGCAGACAGAGATCACAAGTAGGCAGAGAGGCAGACAGAGGGAGAGGAAGCAGGCTCCCTGCTGAGCAGAGAGCCTGATGCGGGGCTCGATCCCAGGACCCTGGGATCATGACCTGAGCCGAAGGCAGAGGCTTTAACCCACTGAGCCACCCAAGCACCCCACAAGGACCATGTTTTGCTCACAGATGTATCCCGGAGTGTCTGCTCCGCGGGAGCCTCTCTATGAACAGTGAATGCAGGAATGAGGGAAGGACGGAGTGACTGGACAGCAGCCCTGGGAGGGAGGCACGTTATGGTCTCCACTTTCCAAAGCAGGAAATGGCACAGAGACATGCGTCCAAAGGCACAACAGTCACTCGGGGTAGAGGGGGACCAGCCTATAGAGCGGGAACCAACGCAGCCATGCCGCATCGCCTGCCTCTCGATCCAGGACCTGCAGCACGGAAACGAGAGGTGGAATTCCTGCCCAAGACGGGATACAAAGGAGAGAGTGCAAGACCACGGCGACAGGTGGGGGTGGCAGCAAAATTAGCGTGTGTGGGCGTGGAAGGGCAGGAGACCAGAGCTGCCAGTGTGAGCCGTCAGGCTCTGCCATCCGCTTCGGGGTCTGGGGGGCGGGGAGGAAGGTAAGGAGGTGGAGAAGGTAGAGTCTGAATTGCAAGTAGTGCTCGGGACGCAGGAAGTACCTACAATGAACCCCTCGTTTGTGGGTCCTGAAAAGCAGAAGCCATCAAGAGTGGAAGAATAAATACAAGAAGGGCTTCTTCCCCATTTATCCAAAATGCAGGCAGATTTCACAACTGGGGGCGCCTGGGTGGCTCAGTGGGTTAAAGCTTCTGCCTTCGGCTCAGGTCGTGATCCCAGGGTCCTGGGATCGAGCCCCACATCGGGCTCTCTGCCCAGCAGGGAGCCTGCTTCCCACCCCCACCGCCTCTGCCTGCCTCTCTGCCTACTTGTGATCTCTGTCTGTCAAATAAATAAATAAAATCTTTTAAAAAAAAGAGATTCCACAAGCGACTTCATTGTTTAAAATTGCTAAAAAATATCACATGACCCCAGCGTGTGCTGACCCCGATCAGCTCTGAGCCCAGGGCAGACCCCAGGGAAAGACACCCTCCAGTGCTGCAACCCAGACCATCTGTGGTACCCGTGGCACAGAAGCCAGCACCAGGCGGTGACACACTGTATTGTCTGTGCCCCACCCAAGTCAGAACCTGGCAGAGCGCGCTCAGGAAACAGTTGTGCTGAATGAATGAGCAACTAAACGAGGAAACTAATGAAAGGTCACCCACTACAGAGCACATTCAACCCAAGGAAGCAG